GGTGATGATGATGATGGTGGTGATGATGATGGTTGTGATGGTTGTGATGATGATGGTTGTGATGATGATGATGATGGTTGTGATGATGATGGTTGTGATGATGATGATGATGATGGTGATGATGACAGTGGTAATGATGTTGATGGTGGTGATAATGATAATGATGATGATGATGATGATGGTGATGATGATGATGGTGGTAATAATGGTGGTGGTGTTTTTGGTTCTCAGGTACTTGGTCTGGGTGAGGAGTGGAAGGGCGGTGATGTTGATGGTGGTGATAATGATAATGATGATAATGGTGATGATGATGGTTGTGATGATGGTGATGATGATGGTTGTGATGATGATGATGATGATGATGATGATGATGATGGTGATGATAATGGTTGTGATGATGGTGATATAATGGTTGTGATGATGGTGATGATGATGGTGGTGATGATGATGGTGGTAATGATGATGATAATGGTGATGATAATGGTGATGATGATGATGGTTGTGATGATGGTGTGATAATGGTGATGATGATGATGGTGGTGATGATAATGGTTGTGATGGTTGTGATGATGATGGTTGTGATGATGATGGTGGTAATGATGATGATGATGGTGGTGATAATGGTGGTGGTGTTTTTGGTTCTCAGGTACTTGGTCTGGGTGAGGAGTGGAAGGGGGGTGATGTTGATGGTGGTGATAATGATAATGATGATAATGGTGATAATGATGGTTGTGATGATGGTTGTGATGATGGTGATATAATGGTTGTGATGATGGTGATGATGATGGTTGTGATGATGATGATGATGATGATGATGGTGATGATAATGGTTGTGATGATGGTGATATAATGGTTGTGATGATGGTGATGATGATGGTGGTGATGATGATGGTGGAAATGATGATGATAATGGTGATGATAATGGTGATGATGATGATGGTTGTGATGATGGTGTGATAATGGTGATGATGATGATGGTGGTGATGATAATGGTTGTGATGGTTGTGATGATGATGGTTGTGATGATGATGATGATGATGGTGGTGGTGATAATGGTTGTGATGGTTGTGATGATGATGGTTGTGATGATGATGGTTGTGATGATGATGATGATGATGATGGTGGTGATGATAATGGTTGTGATGATGATGGTTGTGATGATGATGGTTGTGATGATGGTGATGATGATGGTGGTGATGATAATGGTTGTGATGATGATGGTTGTGATGATGATGGTTGTGATGATGGTGATGATGATGGTGGTGATAATGATAATGATGATAATGGTGATAATGATGGTTGTGATGATGGTTGTGATGATGGTGATATAATGGTTGTGATGATGGTGATGATGATGGTTGTGATGATGATGATGATGATGATGGTGATGATAATGGTTGTGATGATGGTGATATAATGGTTGTGATGATGGTGATGATGATGGTGGTGATGATGATGGTGGAAATGATGATGATAATGGTGATGATAATGGTGATGATGATGGTGATGATGATGTGATAATGGTGATGATGATGATGGTGGTGATGATAATGGTTGTGATGGTTGTGATGATGATGGTTGTGATGATGATGATGATGATGGTGGTGGTGATAATGGTTGTGATGGTTGTGATGATGATGGTTGTGATGATGATGGTTGTGATGATGATGATGATGATGATGGTGGTGATGATAATGGTGATGATGATGATGGTTGTGATGATGATGGTTGTGATGATGATGATGATGATGATGGTGGTGATGATAATGGTTGTGATGGTTGTGATGATGATGGTTGTGATGATGATGATGATGATGGTGGTGGTGATAATGGTTGTGATGGTTGTGATGATGATGGTTGTGATGATGATGGTTGTGATGATGATGATGATGATGATGATGGTGGTGATAATGGTGGTGGTGTTTTTGGTTCTCAGGTACTTGGTCTGGGTGAGGAGTGGAAGGGCGGTGATGTTGATGGTGGTGATAATGATAATGATGATAATGGTGATGATGATGGTGATGATGATGGTTGTGATGATGGTGATGATGATGGTGATTATAATGGTTGTGATGATGGTGATGATGATGGTTTTGATGATGATGATGGTGATGATGATGGTTGTGATGATGATGGTTGTGATGATGATGATGATGGTGGTGATGATAATGGTTGTGATGGTTGTGATGATGATGGTTGTGATGATGATGATGATGATGGTGGTTATAATGGTGGTGGTGTTTTTGGTTCTCAGGTACTTGGTCTGGGTGAGGAGTGGAAGGGCGGTGATGTTGATGGTGGTGATAATGATAATGATGATAATGGTGATGATGATGGTGATGATGGTTGTGATGATGGTGATGATAATGGTTGTGATGATAGTGATGATGATGGTTATAACGGTGGTGGTGGTGATGATGATGGTGGTAATGATGATGGTTGTGATGATGGTGATGATAATGGTTGTGATGATGGTGATGATGATGGTTATAAAGGTGGTGGTGGTGATGATGATGGTGGTAATGATGATGGTTGTGATGATGGTGATGATGATGGTTGTGATGATGATGATGGTGATGATGATAGTGGTAATGATGTTGATGGTGGTGATAATGATAATGATGATAATGGTGATGATGATGGTTGTGATGATGATGATGATGATGGTGGTGGTGATAATGGTTGTGATGGTTGTGATGATGATGGTTGTGATGATGATGGTTGTGATGATGATGATGATGATGATGGTGGTGATGATAATGGTGATGATGATGATGGTTGTGATGATGATGGTTGTGATGATGATGATGATGATGATGGTGGTGATGATAATGGTTGTGATGGTTGTGATGATGATGGTTGTGATGATGATGATGATGATGGTGGTGGTGATAATGGTTGTGATGGTTGTGATGATGATGGTTGTGATGATGATGGTTGTGATGATGATGATGATGATGATGATGGTGGTGATAATGGTGGTGGTGTTTTTGGTTCTCAGGTACTTGGTCTGGGTGAGGAGTGGAAGGGCGGTGATGTTGATGGTGGTGATAATGATAATGATGATAATGGTGATGATGATGGTGATGATGATGGTTGTGATGATGGTGATGATGATGGTGATTATAATGGTTGTGATGATGGTGATGATGATGGTTTTGATGATGATGATGGTGATGATGATGGTTGTGATGATGATGGTTGTGATGATGATGATGATGGTGGTGATGATAATGGTTGTGATGGTTGTGATGATGATGGTTGTGATGATGATGATGATGATGGTGGTTATAATGGTGGTGGTGTTTTTGGTTCTCAGGTACTTGGTCTGGGTGAGGAGTGGAAGGGCGGTGATGTTGATGGTGGTGATAATGATAATGATGATAATGGTGATGATGATGGTGATGATGGTTGTGATGATGGTGATGATAATGGTTGTGATGATAGTGATGATGATGGTTATAACGGTGGTGGTGGTGATGATGATGGTGGTAATGATGATGGTTGTGATGATGGTGATGATAATGGTTGTGATGATGGTGATGATGATGGTTATAAAGGTGGTGGTGGTGATGATGATGGTGGTAATGATGATGGTTGTGATGATGGTGATGATGATGGTTGTGATGATGATGATGGTGATGATGATAGTGGTAATGATGTTGATGGTGGTGATAATGATAATGATGATAATGGTGATGATGATGATGGTGATGATGGTTGTGATGATGATGATGATGGTGATGATGATGATGGTGGTAATGATGATGATGATGGTGGTGATAATAGTGGTGGTGTTTTTGGTTCTCAGGTACTTGGTCTGGGTGAGGAGTGGAAGGGCGGTGATGTAGATGGTGGTGATAATGATAATGATGATAATGGTGATGATGATGGTGATGATGATGGTTGTGATGATGGTGATGATGATGGTGATGATAATGGTTGTGATGATAGTGATGATGATGGTTATAAAGGTGGTGATGGTGATGATGATGGTGGTAATGATGATGGTTGTGATGATGGTGATGATGATGGTTGTGATGATGATAGTGGTAATGATGTTGATGGTGGTGATAATGATAATGATGATAATGGTGATGATGATGGTTGTGATGATGGTTGTGATGATGGTTGTGATGATGGTGATATAATGGTAGTGATGATGGTGATGATGATGGTTGTGATGATGATGATGATGATGATGATGGTGGTAATGATGATGGTTGTGATGATGATAATGGTGATGATGATAGTGGTAATGATGTTGATGGTGGTGATAATGATAATGATGATAATGGTGATGATGGTGATGGTGATGATGGTAATTATGATGATGGTGGTAATGATGATGATGGTGGTAATGATGATGGTTGTGATGATGGTGATGATGATGGTTGTGATGATGATGATGGTGATGATGATAGTGGTAATGATGTTGATGGTGGTGATAATGATAATGATGATGATGATGATGATGGTGATGATGATGATGGTGGTAATAATGGTGGTGGTGTTTTTGGTTCTCAGGTACTTGGTCTGGGTGAGGAGTGGAAGGGGGGTGATGTTCATGGTGGTGATAATGATAATGATGATAATGGTGATGATGATGGTTGTGATGATGGTTGTGATGATGGTTGTGATGATGGTGATATAATGGTTGTGATGATGGTGATGATGATGGTTGTGATGATGATGATGATGATGATGGTGGTAATGATGATGGTTGTGATGATGGTGATGATGATGGTTGTGATGATGATGATGGTGATGATGATAGTGGTAATGATGTTGATGGTGGTGATAATGATAATGATGATAATGGTGATGATGGTGATGATGGTAATGATGATGATGGTGGTGATAATGATAATGATGATAATGGTGATGATGGTGATGATGGTAATGATGATGATGGTGGTGATAATGATAATGATGATAATGGTGATGATGGTGATGATGATGATGGTGGTGATAATAGTGGTGGTGTTTTTGGTTCTCAGGTACTTGGTCTGGGTGAGGAGTGGAAGGGCGGTGATGTTGCTCGGACAGTGGGTGGAGGTCAGAAGGTACGATGGTTGAAGAAGGAACTGCTGAAACACTCGGAGAAGAAGGAGCTGGTCATCATGTTTGTGGACAGGTAATGTTCACCTGTCTGTCACCAGACAGCAAGTGTGTATGAAGGTGAAAGGTCAACCAGCAGCCCAGACGATGATGACCTGTGTTTCTCTTCAGCTATGATGTGATCTTTGCCTCTGGTCCAGAAGAGCTTCTCACCAAGTTCAACCGTCTGGGTCACAGAGTTGTTTTCTCAGCTGAGGGCTTCTGCTGGCCCGACCAGCGCCTGGCCTCCAAGTACCCTGAGGTGCATTCTGGGAAGCGCTACCTGAACTCAGGAGGTGAGTCCAGGTGTTTTAGATGAATGACTCACACTTGTATGGTGCCATTCTGAGTCAGAGCGCTCCAAGGCCTTGACACTACAGCAATGGTACCCAACAGGTGGGCCGGGTGCCGCGGGGCCCCCCTGTGTGGCCCCACTTGCAATGGCGGGGTAGAAAGGGTGCTAGTGTGCATGTGAGGCTGCTGCTGCCCCGATGAGCTGTCCCGGTTTGTCTTTAGGTTTCATCGGCTTTGCTCCTGACCTCAGCGCCATGGTCCAGCAGTGGAAGTACAAAGACAATGACGACGACCAGCTGTTCTACACCAGGATCTACCTGGACAAGGCCCAGAGGGTAAAGCTGACCTAGCCTGTTTACACCTGGGAGCTAACTAGTTGAGTTAAAGTCGCTTCAAGCTGTCCTCATGGTTAGTCCACCAGCTGATTAAAAGAGTCAGAATGCACTGATTCTCTCTGGATTTTTGGCCCCTGCAGGCCCCCGTACCTGTTATGTGGCGATGTGGGTGAGGGATGCCCTTGTACCCGGGCGGGCTTGGCCTGTCTCTTTACAGAAACTGGAGAGCTAAAGCAGATAGTTTGGGGCAGAACGCTGACCCGGATGTTTTCATTCTAGAACATAACCTTCCTGGTCAGGTGCACACGGCGCAGCAGCAAGCTAGCGGTAGCAACACCTGGTTAAAGCTAACCGAGTCCTCTCGTTAGGAATGATGTCAGCCTCCAGAAAAACCGGTCCTATGGTAACTAGACCTTTTCCTCTCAGTTCGGTCCTGATGATGTCTTTTGTCTCCTCAGACCAAGTTCAACATGACTCTGGACCACCGCTCCCGGATCTTCCAGAACCTGAACGGAGCCATCGGTGAGATCCAGACTAGGGTTTCTCCTGAAGGTGCATGAGGCGCTTTCCGACTGTAGGAACCTGTTGAAGTTCCTAGAACCCTTCCAGGAACCAGCCCCCTTTAGCGTGCGTTGGGACAGACAGGAACTAGGAGCCTTGTCCCGTAGATCCTAGAACCGCTGTAGCTCCTACTCTGAGGCGGGGACTTTCTGTGGTTCCTATGGAACTAACGTGACGTCGGCGCTCGGTGAGCTCCACCGCTGGCTTGAGTTCCGCATCTTTTCTGTTCCGAAGCGTGTTAGTTTATTTGGAAACAGACTGGACTGCATCCCGGATACTCCTGCGGCCGCCAGCTCACCTGGCCAGAACCCGACAGGTAAAGAAAACAGTCCTCGTCTCTTCTCTTGATGCAACGGAAGGAAATGATGTATTCTGGGACTAAATCTCGGTGCGAAAGTCACCGATAGCGAGCATGTGTTTGTACCGCAGTCATTTAGCTCCCTTCTGGTGAATTTCTGCTTTGTTCTTGATGTTCGCACGCGTGAGCCACGTGCACAAACACTATTATAGTGGACATGTTTGATTAATGTTTATAACTTATCACTGAGGCAGGAAGTTAGTTTAGGACACTGTGTGTTACTGATAAAGGTGTTTTTATAACTTGTTTTATTCTGAAATGTTAATCCATCCAGCTGCTACGCCAGAGCCAGCCTCTGCCCCTACACCGGCTACACAGCTGTCTTACTATATATGTAGTAAATCTCTGTGGTCATACTTAAGCCTGCAGCATCTACACCTACCTGCAGCCAGAGCGGGAACACACATCTCATTCCACAGAACTATAATCTAGTGTATTATATGGCTCTTGTGTTAACTCTATCTCCACCCTCCCTGGTTTTTTCCAGGAAGCAGAAAAAGAGGTGACACACGTCTGGCTACTGAGCGGGTGATGCTCGGGTCAGAGGCTGAACAGGAGGCGGAGAGATGGACGGTTTGATACCGTGATGCAGTTCCTCTGTGAGCTGACAGAGAGGGAGTCTAAAGAACATCCAGCTCAGGAGGAGCCAGCCACCAGCAGAAGCTCATGGAGGGTCTCTAGTCTGCAGTGAACACATTAGCAGATAAAAGAAGTGCACTTGTGACTATGCGTGCACAAAGCATATCATGAAAGTTATTTTTTACACTGAAATTCTTGAGTTTGTAGCAGGTGTGTTTTTAATAAATGACTTTAAGAGTCACAAGTATTCTTTGTCTCTGAGTGAAGTCAGCTAGATGTAGTTTGGTCACTAATATGAACTATTAGCTCACATTAAGCCTTTCTTATCCTCAGGTGTGTAATCTACTCCCGTTACTCAGGTGTGTAATCTACTCCAGTTACTCAGGTGTGTAATCTACTCCCGTTACTCTGGTGTGTAACCTACTCCCGTTACTCAGGTGTGTAATCTACTCCAGTTACTCTGGTGTGTAATCTACTCCCGTTACTCTGGTGTGTAACCTACTCCCGTTACTCAGGTGTGTAACCTATTCCAGTTACTCAGGTGTGTAACCTATTCCAGTTACTCAGGTGTGTAATCTACTCCCGTTACTCAGGTGTGTAATCTACTCCAGTTACTCAGGTGTGTAATCTACTCCCGTTACTCTGGTGTGTAACCTACTCCCGTTACTCAGGTGTGTAATCTACTCCAGTTACTCTGGTGTGTAACCTATTCCAGTTACTCAGGTGTGTAACCTATTCCAGTTACTCAGGTGTGTAATCTACTCCCGTTACTCAGGTGTGTAATCTACTCCAGTTACTCAGGTGTGTAACCTACTCCCGTTACTCTGGTGTGTAACCTACTCCCGTTACTCAGGTGTGTAATCTACTCCCGTTACTCAGGTGTGTAACCTATTCCAGTTACTCAGGTGTGTATTCTACACCCGTTACTCAGGTGTGTAACCTATTCCAGTTACTCAGGTGTGTAATTACTCCCGTTACTCAGGTGTGTAACCTATTCCAGTTACTCAGGTGTGTAATCTACTCCCGTTACTCAGGTGTGTAACCTATTCCAGTTACTCAGGTTTGTAATCTACTCCCGTTACTCAGGTGTGTAATCTACTCCCGTTACTCAGGTGTGTAACCTATTCCAGTTACTCAGGTGTGTAATCTACTCCCGTTACTCAGGTGTGTAATCTACTCCCGTTACTCAGGTGTGTAACCTATTCCAGTTACTCAGGTGTGTAATCTACTCCAGTTACTCAGGTGTGTAACCTATTCCCGTTACTCAGGTGTGTAATCTACTCCAGTTACTCTGGTGTGTAACCTATTCCCGTTACTCTAGAGTGTAACCTATTCCCGTTACTCAGGTGTGTAACCTATTCCAGTTACTCAGGTGTGTAATCTACTCCCGTTACTCAGGTGTGTAACCTATTCCCGTTACTCTGGAGTGTAACCTATTCCCGTTACTCTGAAGTGTAGCCTATTCCCGTTACTCTGAAGTGTAGCCTATTCCCGTTACTCTGAAGTGTAGCCTATTCCCGTTACTCTGGAGTGTAACCTATTCCAGTTACTCAGGTGTGTAACCTATTCCTGTTACTCTAAAGTGTAGCCTATTCCCGTTACTCTGGAGTGTATCCTATTCCCGTTACTCTGGAGTGTAACCTATTCCCGTTACTCAGGTGTTTAACCTATTCCCGTTACTCAGGTGTGTAACCTATTCCCGTTACTCAGGTGTGTAACCTATTCCAGTTACTCAGGTGTGTAATCTACTCCCGTTACTCAGGTGTGTAATCTACTCCCGTTACTCAGGTGTGTAACCTATTCCAGTTACTCAGGTGTGTAACCTATTCCCGTTACTCAGGTGTGTAATCTACTCCAGTTACTCTGGTGTGTAACCTATTCCCGTTACTCTGGAGTGTAACCTATTCCCTTTACTCAGGTGTGTAACCCATTCCAGTTACTCAGGTGTGTAATCTACTCCCGTTACTCAGGTGTGTAACCTATTCCCGTTACTCTGGAGTGTAACCTATTCCCGTTACTCTGAAGTGTAGCCTATTCCCGTTACTCTGAAGTGTAGCCTATTCCCGTTACTCTGGAATGTAACCTATTCCAGTTACTCAGGTGTGTAACCTATTCCAGTTACTCTGAAGTGTAGCCTATTCCTGTTACTCTGGAGTGTAGCCTATTCCCGTTACTCAGGAGTGTAACCTATTCCCGTTACTCTGGAGTGTAACCTATTCCCGTTACTCAGGTGTGTAACCTATTCCCATTACTCAGGTGTGTAACCTATTCCCGTTACTCAGGTGTGTAACCTATTCCAGTTACTCAGGTGTGTAATCTACTCCCGTTACTCAGGTGTGTAACCTATTCCAGTTACTCAGGTGTGTAATCTACTTCCGTTACTCAGGTGTGTAATCTACTCCCGTTACTCAGGTGTGTAACCTATTCCAGTTACTCAGGTGTGTAACCTATTCTCGTTACTCAGGTGTGTAATCTACTCCAGTTACTCTGGTGTGTAACCTATTCCCGTTACTCTGGAGTGTAACCTATTCCCGTTACTCAGGTGTGTAACCTATTCCAGTTACTCAGGTGTGTAATCTACTCCCGTTACTCAGGTGTGTAACCTATTCCCGTTACTCTCGAGTGTAACCTATTCCCGTTACTCTGGAGTGTAACCTATTCCCGTTACTCTGAAGTGTAGCCTATTCCCATTACTCTGAAGTGTAGGCTATTCCCGTTACTCTTAAGTGTAGCCTATTCCCGTTACTCTGGAATGTAACCTATTCCAGTTACTCAGGTGTGTAACCTATTCCAGTTACTCTGGAGTGTAGCCTATTCCTGTTACTCTGGAGTGTAGCCTATTCCCGTTACTCAGGAGTGTAACCTATTCCCGTTACTCTGGAGTGTAACCTATTCCCGTTACTCAGGTGTGTAACCTATTCCCATTACTCAGGTGTGTAACCTATTCCCGTTACTCAGGTGTGTAACCTATTCCAGTTACTCAGGTGTGTAATCTACTCCCGTTACTCAGGTGTGTAACCTATTCCAGTTACTCAGGTGTGTAATCTACTTCCGTTACTCAGGTGTGTAATCTACTCCCGTTACTCAGGTGTGTAACCTATTCCAGTTACTCAGGTGTGTAACCTATTCTCGTTACTCAGGTGTGTAATCTACTCCAGTTACTCTGGTGTGTAACCTATTCCCGTTACTCTGGAGTGTAACCTATTCCCGTTACTCAGGTGTGTAACCTATTCCAGTTACTCAGGTGTGTAATCTACTCCCGTTACTCAGGTGTGTAACCTATTCCCGTTACTCTCGAGTGTAACCTATTCCCGTTACTCTGGAGTGTAACCTATTCTCGTTACTCAGGTGTGTAACCTATTCCAGTTACTCAGGTGTGTAACCTATGCCCGTTACTCTGAAGTGTAGCCTATTCCCGTTACTCTGGAGTGTAACCTATTCCCGTTACTCTGGAGTGTAACCTATTCCAGTTACTCAGGTGTGTAACCTATTCCCGTTACTCAGGTGTGTAACCTATTGCAGCTACTCAGGTGTGTAATCTACTCCCGTTACTCTGGAGTGTAACCTATTCCCGTTACTCTGGAGTGTAACCTATTCCCGTTACTCTGAAGTGTAGCCTATTCCCGTTACTCTGAAGTGTAGCCTATTCCCGTTACTCTGGAGTGTAACCTATTCCCGTTACTCTGGAGTGTAACCTATTCCCGTTACTCTGAAGTGTAGCCTATTCCCGTTACTCTGGAGTGTAACCTATTCCCGTTACTCTGGAGTGTAACCTATTCCCGTTACTCTGGAGTGAAGCCTATTCCCGTTACTCAGGTGTGTAATCTACTCCAGTTACTCTGGTGTGTAACCTACTCCCATTACTCAGGTGTGTAACCTATTCCAGTTACTCAGGTGTGTAACCTATTCCAGTTACTCTGGTGTGTAACCTATTCCAGTTACTCTGGTGTGTAACCTATTCCAGTTACTCAGGTGTGTAGTCTACTCTAGTTACTCAGGTGTGTAGCCTATTCCGGTTACTCAG